GCAGGAATTTCTAGGAGAGATCGGGTCCGTAATGATAGAGTGCGTCAGATAATGGAAGTCGAAAATGACATCGTGTTCGACGTCATGACCAAACAACTTGTTTGGTATGGTCATGTCAATAGGATGACGGAAGAGAGGCTGCCAAAAAAGATGCTTGATTGGGTTCCTCCTGGGAGGAGGCGTAGGGGACGCCCAGTGAGAGGTTGGCGACAGGGGGTGTTAGGTGAGATGAGGGAGTGTCAACTCCCTGATAACCTGTGGGAAGACCGAGCTTTGTGGCGATTAGGTGTCGCAAAGCGCCAAAGAGCGCTATAACAGCGACTCGTATGTATGTAAGAAACTGATTAGGAAGTGCAGATCGCGGGCAATGACTGGTTTTGGAGCCAAGACGAGACCTTTTACGCGGAAGGCATGAAAGAGCTGCTGTAATGATACCAGAAATGTCAAAAAAGATGCGGAGACTATCTCAAAAAGTAAAGTAAGGCCTACTTGATAAAAGCTTTTAAAGTCCTTTTCGATTTCATGTTTAGAGGCGATAAGCCGAGTCTGAAGTAAGGGACTCTCCGCGCATCCTGACCTCGGAGGTGGGCACGCGACGACGGGAGGTCGTCTCAGGAAAATTGAGTTTTCTCGCGAAGTCCTCAACCGATTTTCAAAAACTTGAGCTTGTTTAAAAGCTTAGAGTATGCCTAATATGTACGTTTTTACCGATTTGATTTATCTTTTTTCGTTCGGAAGATACAAGGTAGGGAACCTTACTTTTTGGATGACCCTCGTATTTCGCTCTGAATTTTGAGTCATGATTGTTCTTGACACGGTATCCCAGCCCCCTCAAAGTGAAGCTCCCTATATTATCATCAGAAACTTTGCTCCTTCCTTCATTTTTAAATTGCAATCATTTCAAACATAAATGTTGAGGGAAGTATATTGAAACCAGAAATTTCGTCTAATAGCAACAGCTCAGCGAATAACCAACTATTGGAAAAGCACCAAGTTTGCATGTTTTAAACAAACAAAAAAAAGGTGGATTTAAATGAAATGAATGGTTAATTTTTATGCGGAAAAATTGATCAAGTTACCAATAATTTTTAGGTAAATTTCACTTGTCCGTTTCTACAACTCCTTCATACTGAAGAAGAGTGGAGGGTCTCTCTTTATCTAAACATTAGTTTCCGATCTGATTACAGGTAAAACCAAATGTACCCATGGATCTCTTAACCAACTCATTCTCCTTGTCGATCAACCCCTTTCTAGTCCTCTTCGGCGCAACCCTCCTAGCCTTTTACTACATGCCCCTCAACTACTGGGCGAGACGAGGTATACCCCACGTGTCGGCCCTACGATGCATCTGCCAGACCCTAGCGGTGACCTTCCGGACTAAATCCTTCCACGAGATGCTCCATGAGCAGCACAAAGCTCTCGAGGGACACTCTTACGGTGGCGCGTACCTTATGTTCAGGCCGACAGTGATCCTCCGGGACCCTGAGTTGGTCAAGGAGTGGCTTGTCAAGGGATTCGCCCATTTCCACGACCATGTCCCGAAGCCTGATGAGAAGAGCAGCAAACTTGCCGGAAACTTGTTCGCGCTTGGAGGCGACAGATGGCGCGCAGTGAGGACGAAGGTATCGCCCGCGTTCAGCCCTGCGACTGTCAGGTTCATGCACAGGACTTTGGAGGGATGTGCCCTGGAACTCATCAGTCACTTGCAAAGGTTAGTGCATGAGTCGTGTTTTGTTCGAAATAACAAAATGTTTCCGTTTTTTTCTTTTTTTTTTTTTCTTTTTTTTTTTACGCGTTTCTAATGTGACTAATGCGTTCTACCAATGAGAGAGCGACTTCCAATTTTAGATCAGAAAACAGCGTTGCTTATTTGAACATTATAAAAACGACTTGATTTGAGTACGTTGCATGTGCACAACAATGTTGCTGTAGAGGTTCCCAAATTCTGCGCGCGTGAATATGCCCCGCCCCCAATACAAAACAGCTTCGTAACTAAATGCGATTGTTGCTTGTTTTCACAACATGTTGCGAGTGTTGCCTCCGATCCTCCGAACAAACTACGACTATGCCAAGAGGTAAAGTCTCTGGCTGCTACGCGGCATCAAAAGGCTGCTTCATTCTCGGATATATTTGAACATTTAAAAATAAGGTGTTTAAACCTGTCAATAGCCGCAAAAAAAAAAAAAAAAATGAAAATCGGCATGACATCCCCAAGGTTAGCTTTGAAAAAAACAAGGAAAGAGAGAAAATAAAAATGATTTAAAACTATGTTGCTTATACTGAAAACCGAAGGCAAATTGACAACGAGAGTCAATTCCCAAACTTTTTCTCAAGCAATCGTGACGTAGGAAATCAATCAATCAAGCAATCAGAGAGCGATACCACTGTTCGGCCGCGTGGGAGCTCGTGTTGCCTACACTAAAACCTGAAGGCGAACTTACAATGTGAACTGACCATGCTAATATAAGAATATTCGGACTTATTTATACCAATAGGAACTACTGCACGGTGTACGCAAACTATGTACACATTGTTCCTTTTTGCATAAATCCGTCAATTTGAACAAAAACTGAATTCAATGTTGTCAACTTGAACGACTGAGCGACACCCTAAGTAGCAGTGATCGCGAAAAATTGCGATCTTATCGGTTGGTTATCGCGATTATATCGTTATCGGTTTATCGCAATATTTGCTAAGTAAAAATTGCGATTTATGGCGATTAAATTGCTATTCATCGCAATTTAAAATAAAATCGGGCTCAATTTTCTACGACAAAATCGAAATTAAATCGCCATATATTGCAATTTTTGTCTCGGTGATATCGCGATAAATTGCCGGGCGATAAAACTGCAATTTTATTGCGATAAGATCAAGGATAATCGCTCAGATGTTGATGATTCTAGGGATTTTATCGCCGCTTTTATCGATCCACTTCGAGTCGATTGGAGTGGTCGGACATGAAATTTTTGACTAAAACTGCGAATTCTGATGTTTTTTTCGTCATATTTTAAATATTAAGGGGCTCTTAGAGGAGAAAATTTTACGAGAAAACCAATGAGACCACTTTTAAAACCTCAAAGTTGTGTATAAACGGAGTTGTAATAAGCTTTTAAAGTCTCCAAATTTTGTCCGACCTCTCCTATTGACTCGATCCACTGTGCGCCGATCAAATCGCAATAAATCGCGATTTTTCCGTTGAAAAATGCTACTTAGGAACTGTAAAACAACCAAGAAACCTATGTTTTCCTTGAACTCTTAGGGTATGCGGAGCCAAAGGCGAGGCGGAAATCGACATGAAATCCGTGGCGAAGAACTGCGCGATGGACATAATCGGAGCGTGCGCCGTCGGCGTGAACTGCAATGCCCTCGGCGACCCGGAGCACTGCGAGATGAAACCGATCGTCGAAGAGATCTTCGGCATCACGTGGAGATCCTCAATCGCCAATCTCCTCACTTATATCCACCCCCGGCTTCCGGCCTGGATCCGATTCCCTCGACGGACTCCCGAGGTAGAGCAGTTTGTCGCCGCCTTGACCAGGAGAGGCCTCCAGATGAGCGCTGAGGAGCGGGCTGGCAGGAGGGATTTCCTGAAAATTTTGGTCGAGAGTCGCGAGGCCGAGAAACTAGCGGCGGAAAATTGTGGTGCTGATGGAGCAAGTGAAGATGAAGGTATGTTGGTTGAACTTTCCAAAGGGGGAAGAAAAGGAGGAGGGATAAAAAGAAAATGAAGACAGACATCGAGTAAAGAAGACAAAGAGGAGGAGAGAATGTCTTTTTCTTGAAATGTTTCTCGCAGATTTTCCGCACGGCGCGGCGTAAAGTCGATGTCAGTGTATGGAACGCCGCGCCGTTCGGGTTAAAACCGTTTTTCCGGCGCGTGGAAAGAACTTTGTCGTACGTACTGGTTCCTCGAAGCGGCAGGGGAAATCACAAACAGACCACTGCACCGTAGTTTACACGCAATGCATGAAGTATCCCGCAGACTTGTAAGGCGCTATGCTATGCGGTGCTCGCACCGTGCAGTACGTGCAATGCACGAAGTATCCTGCAGTCTTGAAAGGCGCTACAATGCGTTTCGCACCGCGTCGCACTGTGCTTGATGCGATTATTCAAACTTGCAATGTGAGCGATTTTTAACTCGTGATTTTAAAGTTATTGTAAAGTTTGTTGGAATTGGTGTCATTTCAAACATATATCAAAGATAAATCATTACATAAAATCCGACTAATTTTTTTCTCTTCATTTACATATTTTTATGAATAATTTTAAGTAAAAACATGCAAGTGAAACGACTTTCATGTGTAGGCTATTGACGGCTACTTTCACGGATTATTCTACAACTCACGCTTCAATCGCATTTCCCCATCACTGACTTTGGAACGCCGTTCGAGTCAAAACCTTTTTTCCGGCGCGCGGAAAAAACTTTGTTCGCGCGGAATGAAAGAGGCCGTGTTTCTTTGAAAAACTTTATTTCTCCAGATTCTTTGCCAAATTTCTTGTGTCTTCGATATATCTTAGCCAATCGCGTGACAACTGTTTTTGTCGGTGCGCGGCGCTCGAATTCTGTTTCGTGCGCAGAATTTTCGATACATCGATTGCTATTCGCGGATCGTGTCAAAACTATTTTTTCCGGAGCTGTACCAGAAAATATTTCCGCGCGCCGTATTGTCGCTATCGATTTTTCTGTGCGCGGAGAAAATTATCCCTCTGTTGACCGATGATCATTGCACCGTTGGAGGAGAAAAATTGTAGTGGTGTCTATTGAATTCAATTTTATTTATCTTTTCCAGTGAGTGCGATACCAAATTATGATATGGGTATGAGTAGATCGCGAGGCATCACCATAGTATAACTGGACTTATTTTGTAGTTCCTCATACCGGCAATAATCACGAATGGAAATAATTCATAAAATAAGGCAGGGCTTGGGAATAGAGACAAATACTACTCGCACTCACTGGAATGGATAAATAAATTTGAATTCAATCGGCAACACTGCAATTTTTCTCCTCCAACGGTGCAATGATCATCGGCCAACAGAGAGATAATTTTTTCCGCGCACAGAAAAATCGATAAATCGACAATTCGGCGCGCGGAAAAATTTTCTGGTACAGCTGTGATTATTGCCGGTATGAGGAACTACAAAATAAGTCCAGTTATACTATGGTGATGCCTCGCGATCTACTCATTCCCATATCATAATTTGGTATCGCACTTACTGGAAAAGATAAATAAAATTGAATTCAATAGACACCACTACAATTTTTCTCCTCCAACGGTGCAATGATCATCGGTCAACAGAGGGATAATTTTCTCCGCGCACAGAAAAATCGATAAATCGACAATTCGGCGCGCGGAAAAATTTTCTGGTACAGCTCCGAAAAAAATAGTTTTGACATGACCCGCGCATAGCAATTGATATATCGGAAATTCTGCGCGCGGAACAGATTTTGAGCGCCGCACCGACAAAAATTGTTGTGACGCGGTCGGCGAAGATATAGCGAAGTAACAACAAATTTTGCGAAGAATCTGGAAAATTAGAGTTTTTCAAAGAAACACGGCCTCTTTTATTTCGCGCGCCGGAAAAAAGGTTTTGACTCGAACGGCGTTTCAAAGTCAGTGATGGGGAAATGCGATTGAAGCGTGAGTTGTAGAATAATCCGTGAAAGTAGCCGTCAATAGGCTACACATGAAAGTCGTTTCACTTGCATGCTTTAATTTAAAATTATTCATAAAAATATGTAAATGAAAAGAAAAAAATTAGTTGGATTTTATGTAATGATTTATCTTCTGAAATGACAATAATGCCAACAAACTTATCAGTGACTTCAAAATCACAAGTTAAAAACCGCTGACATTGCAAGTTTGAACAATCGCTTCAAACACAGTGCGGCTGGCGCGCATAGCGCGGCGCGTTACGTGCGTAACGTCTTGCAGCGCCTTTCAAGACCGCAGGATACTTCATGCATTGCGCGTACAGCACGGTGCGAGCGCCGCATGGCATAGCGCCTTACAAGTCTGCAGGATACTTCATGCATTGCGTGTAAACTACGGTGCAGTCATCTGTTTGTGATTTCCCCTGCATGCCGCTTCGAGGAACCAGTACGCTACTGATCTTAATTGCAGGAGTTCAGAAATTCGAGCGATGTTTACTCTTTTTTTTGTGATGAAAGTAATAAAGAAAATAGAATGAGATATCGCTTTGATATTATTTTTCAATTTATTTGAAATCATTTAGGAGCTTTTCACTTTCTGTCCGGTTTTTACGACGATTAAAGGAAAAATATTTATCTTAATTGCAAAGATTCAGAAACCTACACCGCGTAAAATTATTTTGGGCTTAATAAAAAGAGAATAGGACGAACGAAAATATCGCGTCGGAATTTTCGATCATTTTATTTCAGCTCATTTGAAAGAATTCGTGGCAATTTCTCAGAAAAACTGTGTAGGTCCTTTTAAAACACACTTGAATAAAATGAAACACGAGGAGTGGCGTGTAAAGTTGCGATCAGAAACATATACGCTTTTTTTCGTGAAAGATGTAGACTGTATGCAATGAAAAAAAAATTGCAACTTATTCCAATTGCATCGCAATTAATTCCCCCAAGGGAATCCCAATCCATTGGTGAATAGATAGCATACACAAAACTTCGATACAGCAGCAATAGTGCCATCATGTAATCGCAATTTGTATTATTTGAGAGAGTCCATGAATCTAATCGGACTAAATTTTGCAATTTGGAACCATACTTCCTGGTTCAGTTTAGGAAAAATGTGTGCACCATTCTGCCGTGCTAAGGAAGCACGCTGTACGAGCCATCAAGGGTTGCCAAATTTCCTTTGATAGATCACGAATTCTTGGGAAAATTTGTGAACTGTTTTCTTCCAACGTTTCAGATAATTTTGTTCGCAATTTTACCTAATGTTCCTGAAAATTTCAAAGCAAAATATTCGTAGCTTTCCTCAAAAATAACATTTTATCGGAGAAAATTTGGCAACTCTCGAATATTCATACGGCGTTTTCCTCTAGCACGTCAGCATTACTCTCCCTATGCACACACTTTTTTTTACCGATGAGCCGGAAATTGTAGTTCCTAATTGCAAAATGAAGTTCAATTGTAAGATTAAATTTGGAACTTTTCATGATATTTGTACAATCAACAATGCAACTGTTTTCCTTCCTATTATAGTTGAGAAACTCGTTGAAATAAATGTATGTGACAACTGAAATAGACGCTCGAAATAATTGTTCTAGACCCGGTTTTCACGGAAAATATCATCGCTGGTGTAGTTGGACTATTCCTCTCGGCTGGACTGGAAAACGTAGCAGTCACCGTGACATTTTGTATGTTTGAAATAGCCCACCAACCAGAGATTCAAGAGAAAATGTTCGATGAAATCCAGGCGATGAAAAAAGAAACTGGCAGGGAAATAAACTACGACGACCTCAAGAGACTTAAGTATATAGAGCAAGTCGTTAATGGTGAGTAAAGTACCTGTATTAGTGAAACCAGTCGCAAAGGAACTTCGGCGAATACAATTTATTGAATTTCGTAAATTGCACCGTAAGCTTGGCAAGTAGTTGCTCATAGGCATCTCAGCTTTTTGAGAGCTCTCGCTTTATGTAGACCTGTGACGTAAGTTATTTTCACGGGGGAAAGTATTTGATTTCTCCACTCACGCCTTATTTTATTTCACTTCATCGACCTTTTTAATTTTTATTATTGGTATTTGTGGTAAGGTTTAGTTCTAATTTTAAGTAGAAAAAGTTTCAATTTTGTAAGGGGAAGTAAATCTAATGAACAAGTCAGACCGAAAAATATTTAGAATAGGTTCAGAAGTTCCGTATTAATTATTTGTTTTTCCTGGAAACCGCAAAAAATTGAGTATTATTTTAGACTTCAAAAAAAAAAGTCGGCCGATTTTTTCATTCCTGAAAACACAGGTTGCTTTAAGCTGCTATGGTAATATTTACCAGGAAAGCATTTTTTACACACACTCATCTCAATGTTTATTGCTCCCTTTCTTCCTTCTTTCCCTCCCTTTTTGTCTCCCAGTCTTTCCTTTGTTGGTCGATTTTAGTTTTTCCTCTCCAGAGATTTCTATGAATGAATCACGAATTATTTTCAATTTGAGAAATTCAAAAATTCTTAAATTTCAGAAACACTGCGCAAATATCCAGCGGATGGATATATGAGAAGGATCTGCACCAAACCGTTCAAAATACCAAGTACATCAGTCGTGGTGGAGGAGAATACCAAACTGTTTATATCTACATATAGTATTCATCACGACCCAAAATATTTCCCGGAACCTGAGAAATTCGACCCAGAAAGATTTTCAGAACAGAACATTGATAAAATTGTCCCAGGGTCTTATTTAGCTTTTGGAAAAGGACCTAGAGCTTGCATAGGTGAGTTTTTTTCAGTTTCATCACAGGAAGGCCTGAAGGAATCCCCATAAAAAATATAACGCCCAAATATGGATTTGGGACCCTAGCCACCCACTCAGACCCTATGAAGAAATAAGCCTTTCCTGTCGTGCTAAGGAAGAACGCCGTATGAACCTTCAGACGTTGTGAAGTCTCCTGCGAAAAATACCGAATTTACCGGGAAAATTGTGAATATTTTTTCCAATCATTTTCAGATGATTTTGTACGCAATGTAATCTAAAAAATATAAAAATGTCAAGGGAAATTATGCATGAATGTCGTCAAATGCACATTTTTTATCAAGAGAAATTTGGCAACTCTCGAATGTTCATACAGCATTCTTCCTTAGCACGGCAGTATAATCCACTAATCTCCTCTTAAAAATAAGTAACGCTGTTCCTACTGTTTCTAGTATCCCAGTACCGCGTAGAAATGGGGGAGGAGGTGGTTGTCGAGGTGGTTCTGAATCCACCTTCTACCACCCTTTAAATTTCTTCAAGAAAAAAATGCTATTTTTAAGACTTTTCCGGAATCTTTCAACTTCTTCTTTTTGAAAAACATTAGTTTACTAAAACAGAATTGATTAATTAATTAATTAATTAATTAATTAATTAAGGATCCGTTTTCGAAGTTTTTCTGTTTGTGTCAAGTATATATTAATGTGAGCATGCTTTATTCAGCTTACATGTTCACTGTTCAGTGTATAATTTTGATGAGGGAACATTTCCTCTGATGCTCGCATTTCAACTTTGTTTAGTGATCCAACGATTCCCTAAATTTCATAACGCGCAGCGCATCAACAATAACAAAAATGCACAACGCTCAAACGCTTTCAGCGACATAGCCCCGGGGCATTTTCATTCACGTGACAGCCGCGTTGTGATAGCAGATGAGCGCATCATTTCTCAGAATTTGTCTCAAAGTTTCAGCACACATCGATCTCGCAGCGTTTTCATATGCCATGCCAACCCCGTAAAGTTGCAGTTATACGACAGAAGGGTGGACTTACCAGCTTCACTGCCATGCTGAGAAAGAAGGCCGTATGAACTTTCGAGAGTTGCCAAATTTCCTTCGATGAAATGTTAATTTTCAAGGAAAGTTATGAATATTTTCCCTTGCAATTTTCAGGACTTTTCGGTGAAATTGCGAGCGAAATTATCTGGAAAATTGGAAGAAAAATATTCATGAGTTTACCAGGAAATTCGTGTTTTATCAAAGACAATTTGACGACGCCTGAAGGTTCATACGGCGTTGTTCCTTAGCACGGCAGTTTAGGGAGCTGCTTATCCCTTGTTGAGTTATAGTTTTGGCGTGCTAAGGAATAACGCCGTATGAGCTTTTAGACGTTGCCATATTTCTTTCAATAAAAGATGGGGTACACGTGAATGAGTATTTACTTCCAATTTCCAGATTATTTTATTCACATTTCAAGCTAAAGTGATTTGAAAATTTGAACCACGTTTAAGAGGAACGCATCAAGTCGCAAACAAATTTGAACCAAAAGGCAGTGGTTTGAAGTTTTACGCATCCTCCAAGGACGCGCTTTCACGGAAAACGATTTTACTTAAAAAATACTTAACTTTATGACTTTTTTACGTGAAAGTGTTCTGAGGGGCGTTAATCAATTAATAAATTTTACGTATTACTTATTAATCAATTTTTACATATTTTTAAGTAAAAAATAATAAGGAAAATTCGGTTTTTTTTTCAGTCAAAAAATATGCTCCTAGGATCCATTAGATTCAATGTAATGGACTGAGTTAAAGGACTATTTTCACGTTCAAAAATTGTTTTCGACTTTGAATAATTAACNGGGGGGGGGGGGGGGGAATTTGGCCACGTTTAGCAGAGAGAAACCAGGCCACATTAGCTATTGCCAAATGTAACTGAGAAATTTAATTATTCACAAGAAATCGATGTGCGGATTTTTTTTAAATTTCATGGAATTTGCCTCGTACTTTGCAGGAAATTCACGGAAATTTGCACACAAATCCGCAAACCGTTTTCATGTAAAAAATCAAATTGTCCACTTAAATTTGGCAACAGCTTGTATGGCTTGTTTCCTTTCTGCTTAAAACAGTCCAACTAACGACTGGTTGAATTTAAAATTACTTTCAATTCATTTTATTTCCAAAGTGCGGCTTGGTGCGCTTTGGTTCGACTCGACCGGGCGGCCTTTCCAGAAAAACATTTTCGTGAATTTCCACCCGCAAAAAAATGTTGTATATCGTAGGAGTTTTGACAACACCCGAAACTTCCTACTGAGTTTTTCCATAGAACGGTAGCGTTCTGCTCTTGGCTCTTCAGCCTGAAGCTGACTTTTGCAATTTTCATGACGCTGTACTCTACTTTCTATTTCAGCGAGCCACTGGGCCCTGACGGCCGTGAAAACGGTAGTGGTGACCCTGGTGTCCAACTACAAACTCTTTCCCTGCGCTCGAACTCAAAAACGGATTGAATTTGACCGACAGCGTTTCAACTTGACCCCCAAGGGTGAAGTGCCCCTTCGAATCGTGAAAAGAAATACTGTATTTTGATTTTTTCAAGTGGTTTCTTTCACCGTTTTTTCCGGTATAGGCTTGATTCCTTTATATGTATACCTAAAATTCTCAGGCATAACTGTGATTTTATTTTTTATATTTTTGGTAAAATTACATTTTAATCTTAAGTATGTAACGAGAGAAAAAATGTGAATTTAGGAAAATTTCAAATATAGTCAGAGCTCTACACGCATTTTGTTGATAACTCATTTTATACAGTACCTTTTTCTGACATCTTCTTCACTTTCCCGAAAATTTCTCTCGTAATGATTCTCAAAAATCCATGATTTTTCCTTACCTTTCCTCGCTTTATCCTTACTTCATACGCATTTTTAACTATACCTATTCGGATTGGGAAAATGGAACGATGGAATGACGAAGAAATAAACCGAAAAACACGAGGAATCGAACCGGGATGTTGATTAATGGATTATGATAGGAAATTGCATACCCCCAAGGCTACTTTCTTGAGTCTGTCACAAAAATCTCGAATTTTTGTAGGTAACTTTTCACCGAAGTTCCGTACCTTTTCCGTACTTCCGTACCGACCCTCTGAAATATTTTATATAAGAAATATTCAAAGTGTCCTTAATGTGATTCGTCAAGCTCAAGTGACTTGGTCAAACTGGCATGCGATATATCGCATCGATTAGGTCAAAAATCTCGGCACCCTGGTAAAAATTGGCAGTAGATTCTGTGTTCCAAAATACCATAGACCTACAGCCGGCTGTAGGATTTCCAATAGCTTCTATAGCCGGCTAGACAATTTCTTATAGCCTTTTATAGCCGATGGCGATTATGCAACAGCCAGGCGATGAAGTGTATGCTAAACTTACTAATTACGGATGCTAGGACTTAGTGAGTTTTTGGAATACTGCTCTCTTTTCGGGCAGTAGTATCTTGATTTATTTTGCGAAGAAAGCTCCGTACTTTTGATGGATGCCTGCCATTACTAATATATTAGAGCGCCTTCAGTTTCGTATGATACTGTGCAATACCTCTGGTGTGAAATAGTTGCTTCAAGCGCCGTGGCAGGCGGGCAGCCAGCGCGAAACACGCATTGGCGCCTACAAACCTAACAGGGATACTTCACGCGTTGCGCAATGCGTGAAGAATCCCTGTTAGGTTTGTAGGCGCCAGTGCGTCGCCGCTCCGCTTTGTGTTAGGCTCTAATATTTAATCTGGCGGAGTCAGCGTAATTCAACTCATGATTTTGAAATGTTTGCACATCCTGTATGGATTATTCTCGTTTTAATTGATGAAAAAAATATGTATTAAAGGAAAATATAATGTGTGTTTTGTAAATATTAAGGTGGTTCCGTATCAAACTTACTGATTTCCAAAGCACACGAATTTCTACACAATTTCTTTTAGCCTTTTATAATCGATGGCGAAAAAGCAACAGCCAGGCGATAAAGTGTAAAGCCCGGCGATAGGAAATATAGCCCGGCTGCATAATTTTTTATTGCTTCGTATTGCCCGGACGTATGATTTTCTCCGCATTCTACAGCCAGCTATATGAATTTTTGTAGCCATCTTTAGCCGGCTATTAGAATTCCTGTGGTATTTTGAAACGCAGCTCTTATCGCCAATTTTTACCAGGGCCGATTCTGAATTATTAGCAAAAAATGACGATAGCCCCTGCACATGAGCTTAAAGAATCAGTCTAAATCCAAAAATCGGCAAAATTCAGAGAAATGAAAGCAGAATCGAGTTTGGAAAAAAACTTCGCATTCGAAACAGAAATCGATAGCTGAATCGAATGCGAAGTTTTTTCCAAACTCTATTCTGCTTTCATTTCTCTGAATTTTGCCGATTTTTGGGTTTAGAATGATTCTATAGGCTCATGCGCAGGGGCTATCGTCCTTCTTTTTGCTAAAAATTCAGAATCTGCCGAGATTTTCGACCTACTCGATGGGATATATCGCAAGCCAGTTCGATCACGTCACTTGAACTTGACGAATCACCTTCAGTACTTGTCTTTCGGCTCCAAAAATCTTCATCTTAGACTAACTTCGTCGCTTTTTGTGCAGTTTTGTGTTTGTCTTGATAATTCTCATTTTTTGGAGTTGGTATGTGTTTTCCTACTCTCTGATCCAATTTATCCGTGCAATACATGCCGTGTTGAGGAAGAACGCTCTATGAACATTCGAGAGTTGCGCCAAATTTTTTTCGATAAAATGTTTATTTTTAGGAAAATTATGAACATTTTTCTTTGAAATTTTCAGGCGTTTTAGAAGAAATTACTCGTACAAACAAAATTATCTGAGAAATCGGTAGACAAACATTCAAAAATTTTCCTAAAAATTAATGATTTGCCAGGGGAAATTTAGCAACGCCTGAAGGCTCATACGGCGTTTCTCCTTACACTGAAAAAAAAATCTCGGTGTATTTACTAAAAAAAGGGTAAAATTACCAAGAATTCAGGGTTCTATTTGATCCCAGTTTTTTCTTGGTAAAATTACCGTTAATGGAATTGGTAATTTTACGGAGAAATCTCGGTAATATTATTGAACTTTCTCGGTAATTTTACTGGACCTTGGTAAAAACGCCAATATTTTTAATCGACTGTGGTAGAATTACCGAGATAAAATGGCAAAGTTACCGGGAATTGATTACTATTAAAAGTGGTATTCTTACCTGAAAAAAAAAACAGTAAAAATACCGGTTTTTAGGTATGCTTACCAGTCTGTCTTGGTAAAATTACCAATAATTGGTAAAAAAAAGTGAGATGGTATAGGTACCAACGGACCTTGGTAAAGACGCCGAGAATTTTTTTCAGTGCGGCACAGTAGACACTCTCTGCTCAAGCAGGCCCCTTGAGCGCGGCAACAACGGGTTTTGATATCGAAAGCGCGGCCGGCGTGGAACGGTGGGAGAGCCAATTTGAGCACCTTGAAACAAAACGATGCTCCGCTGTACCCCCTTCCTTTCCCCAATGACCCCCCTTCCTTTCTCCGATGACCCCCTTCCTGCGGACACAATCCTCGATTCCCCGATTCCACGGGCCCTCCGCGGATTACCTCGTTTTACCACCGAGCCGCGCACCGCTTTCTAGATTCGCGCCAGTCCTCCGCCGGCATCGATCGCCCATTCTTCGGCTCCGGAAGGATCCCTAACTTCGTGGTCCGTGGTTCTATACCCCCTCCGAGAGGGTTTTTGGGTCCGTGTGGCGGCGGTAGTGGTTACCTTGCTTTTAAAGGTAACTCTTTGGGTATAACTTGATTCTCTGGATATCCATGGTACTCTTTGATATCTAAGCTATATTGTGCCAGGACTATGATCTTAAAATTATGATAGCGATAATCCTATCTAACACAGTTCTTACAATAAAAAAGGCAGTTTTTAGTGACTGTTTGTTGTTTCTATCACAAAAAAACGTATATAGCTACACTTCAATGTTGCCAGATTTTTCCGCGCTAATTTCAATTTTACCAGGAGAAATTCGAGAATTTCAGACTGAAAATTTCACTATTTTTCCACTGATTCGATGCAAAAATCAGACACATTTTCGACGGAAATTGTTCGACAAATAAAATTAAAATTTTTGCGTCAATTTTGCAGCCTTGGAATGGAGTCATGTTCCCCCGTCCGGAAAACGACGTGCTCTCTTTTCAGCTTTTGTCTCTTGGTTCATAATCCCTTTAAGGATTGACTTATTCAAAAGCACAGGTGCTTCTACAAAAAAGTTTTAAAAAAACTGTTAATATGCACGAAGTAAAAAACCGTGAAGGGATTCCCAATGTAAAATGTAGGTATATAACATTCACGTGAACAAGAGGAGAAAGTTAAAAAAAAATTGATTAAAGTTCAAAAATAAATTTATATATCGTGGCGCAGACCGGAACGTGAAATGCAATATGCATCGTTAAAAATCGAAGATAAACGCAATTTTTTTGGTGAAATAAATTGAATTGTGAAAGTGAAACGTCTAAGGATACATGATGACGTCTTTAAATTTTAAGCGTGCATATCCGAAATCGTATTATTTTATCAGCTTGATTTAGTTTTTAGTTTTCCCACCTTGAGATTTCCAAGTTTTGTTCTATTTTTCACAGTCAATAGTACCAGGAGCCGGTGGTTACCAAGTTTCTGACGCTTGAGAGAGGGCGATTTTAGTACAGGAGCCTGATGGTCGGAGACTGTCTGAATGGGCTATTGTGATTTGAGGTTTTGCGGTTGCAATGCGAAGAAAGTGTTGTCTTGACTTTTGGTGCGGCGAGTGATGCGTGGTTTGTGTTCGGAAGGAATAGTAACAATATAGTCAGCTGCCAATAAAGTGACTCATCCTGAAGACATTTTATCGTTTTTTCTTAGGTGCAATTCTTCAACAGCAGAAAGGAATCATGTATGAATTATAAAAAGTCCAGGAGTATTGGATTATCCTCAAAGGTCACAAAAGGTAAGCAATGCTCATGATACTCGGAGTTTATTACACAGATAAATAAACTAAATGTGATTTGGCAGAGAGCTCTGGCATCAGGACCGCTTTCAATAGCGGTTGGGTGTCGCAGAGCGCACAGAGGCACTGTGAGAGCGACATGTTAATCAGTTACAAATCAACTAAACCATGCATGTATTACACTGGAAAAAAAGGACATTGGATCCAGAGTCCAGACTCTTGAAAACATTGACAAGAAAAAATACTCTTGATTCAATCAGATTTAAGCTTAAATCAAGAACCAAGCCTCTTAATTTGAGCGGATTTCCTTTTGATTTAAGCTTAAATCTGATTGAATCAAGAGTATTTTTTCTTGTCGATGTTTTTACGAGTCTGGACTCTAGATCCAATGTGTTTTTTTTCCAGTGTAGGAAAAGAAAAGAGAAAAATTGATAAAAATACAAGTTTTTTCTTCAATTTTTACGAAGTGAAGTTTACACGAGGCCCCTACTGTCAAAATTTTAAATAATCAGCAGCATCGATCAATGCTAAGATACTCAGTGCTGAAAACTCTTGGTCTTCTTTGATTTAAAAAAAAAAAAAAAAAAAAAAAAAAAAAAAAAAAAAATTGAAATACTGAAAACGAGATAGGTGTTTTTGCAGTTTCTTCCTCAACGTACTCTTTCCAGCCACTGGGCTCAACCCAAATAGTAGTTCCACATCATCCTCATCCATTTGATTTAAAAAAAAAAAAAAAAAAAAAATCCAAAAACCCAAAAATTTTGAAAAACTGAAAACGAGATAGGTGTTTTTGCAGTTGCTTCCTCAATGTACACTTCCCGGTTACCGGGCTCATCCCAATTAGTAGTTCCACATCTTCCTCGTCCAAAGTCAACACCTTCGTTTTCATCTTTCAGTGACGTCACACCGAGCACCTTCGGCCGCACCTCTATTTGACCGAGAATCCGGCGGGACCAAGGTCACTCGAAGATGGCCACTCGAAGCGCTGGCCGTATCTCTCGGACTCTCACTCCGGCTTTCCAGTTATCCGCCAGACACAAGTCCTCCATGGTTTCAGCCGAGGGCTGCCCCGTCCTGCACGGCACGGAGGCCAACGTTGCGGTCAAAGATTACAGCCAAGTCCCCGGCCCGAGACCAATCCCGCTGTTGGGGAACACATGGAGGTTTATACCGTTTGTAGGTGAGCTAGTGCTATGCTGCTATGATCTATTTTTCATGTCTACAAATTCTCTATTTATCTGGTTTCCAGAGTCAGCACTCAGTCCGTGTAAAAAAAGGAACAGGCAAATAACCGCGATGCGTTTTATCCGCGACGACTGTTTGATAATGAGTTGGCAATAGTTCGAAAACTTGCAGCGAGTAACGGCGGTGTAGATGCAAGCACGGCTGCACGGGCCGCTATGATTGCCAACTTCCCAGCTTGAATAACGTGAATTTATAGCGGGGGTGAGTTCACCCCCCGGAAACATGAAACGGGGTGGAAAGTTTGGAACGTATCGCAATGGAAATACGTGGTTTTGCACAATGGTCATTGATGTCTCCGATTGATGCTCTGGAAATACCCGATTGTATTTTTGTTTTTCCTTCTTCTTTTTCGAGAAAACTCATCCAAAGTTACAATGAGTTTTTTTTCAGAGTCGATAATTTTCAAAATTTTTACAGAAATTTCAAGGAGACATCAGTTTCCTTTATTTTTTCTTAAGAAAAAAGTACGTCAATCATAGTCACAGATTTTTAAGGATGCTATGGATTCGATCGACATGAATCGGTCGAAGAGTTAAAAAGTGAACCAATCAACGTAATCGATCGACAACTGTAAATCGACCGACACACTCGTGAATCGACTGAGAAACCCATGAATCGACTGAGAAACCCGTAAATCGATCGACAAAGCCGTGAATCAATCGGCAAAACCCGTGAGTCGATCGATAGACAAAGCCGTGAATCGATCGAAAGTTGTCGACCACATCACGTCAATCGACTCCCGCTATAGTTTTCGATCGATTCATGTTGATCGAATCGAACCGGTGTTCAAATAACTCGTCGATTCATGTTTTTATTTTTTGATCAATTCGTGCCATTCGAATCCATACCCTCCGATTTTTAGACGTTGCACACTGAAAAAAAAATTATCGGCGTTTTTACCAAGGTCCGTTGGTACCTTTACCATATCACTTTTTTTTACCAATTATTGATAATTTTACCAAGACAGATTGGTAAGCTTACCTAAAAACCGGTATTTTTACTGTTTTTTTTTCAGGTAAGAATACCACTTTTATTGGTAATCAATTCCCGGTAACTTTGCCGTTTTATCTCGGTAGTTCTACCATAGTCGATAAAAAATATTGGCGTTTTTACCAGGGTCCAGTAAAATTGCCGAGAAAGCTCAATTCCAATTCCAATTACATACATGGTAATTTTACCTAGAAAAAACTGGGATCAAATAGAACTTTGAATTCTTGGTAATTTTACCATTTTCTTAGTAAATACGCCGATATTTTTTTTTTCAGTGCATAGGAGATACTAGCGCAATTTTTGACTTGAAGGCATCTGTATGATGCTTGGTGTCCGATTTCGCTGCTGATTCTACAAAGTAATCAGTCTGATTTCCAATTGTCATTTTGGGCCGATCTGGCATTTGTTGAGGCCACCGACAACGCGAACGCGACGGACGCGACGCGAACTGGGAAAGTGTGCCAGCACTGCCAGCTGCGGCATTCTCCGCACTCTGAAGCCGAAGCCCCCTCCAAGACGATGCTGACTCCTATTGAGTGTCATCCGGTATAAAGTGAACATCGATTCGATTTGTGAACGACATCGTGGAAAATATAGAGGATAATGCTGCACTCCTGCGGGCTGATTATTGAAATTGATGGACAAGTCTATAGACAAAGGGTACATAGTGCATGGAGCGACCCTGTTGGTTGAAATGTGTGGTTCTTATAGACTAAAATGTCTAACTGTGGACTAACTGTCGAGTTTCTAGTGCGTTGCTGATAGTTAGTCTATTACCTACTGCCTTTTCCCATTGAAACCATCACCAGCTTCCACCGATAGGTTCATAGATACGGTCAAGCGGACGAAATTATCGCTCTAAAGGGCCGGAATTCGTTAATTCCGATGGGAAACCATATACATCAAGCCTCAAATAGCCAATTTCAAAATTTAGGCCTTTTAGGCTTAGACGCGCCAGCAAGAAATCGGAATTTCGGCCTGAAATTTTTTCTACATTAAATTCAGCCCATTTCCCAACTTTCTTTCACTCCCCGTCAAAAGAATTCCTGAAAAAGTCGAAACCGCTCCACCCTAAGGTTCCGGTTGCCTCCATATCTTTTTTGTTATCTTTGACTATAGCTTTGTCTATCAATGTCAAAACCGGCCAGCTGAGGTAGAGCATCGCCCGAGTGGAAAACATAGGATTTAAGGTGCCGTAATGGGTCCTTGGGGTGGTCGAACTGCAGGCGATATATTGCACCGATTAAGCAAAACATCTCGGAATTCTGACTTTTTAAAAAAGGACGATGACCCATGTGCGTGAGTCTAAGAAGTCGTTCTCTGTAAAAAAAAAAATTACAAAATTCAGTGAAAGCAATCAGGATTCTTCTCGGAAAATAACGCGGCATTTGATAGTGAGTATATCGATTCATGTATCGAATGCAATGCTTTCTTCCGAGAAGAGTAATGCTTTCATTCCTCTGGAATTTGCTACTTTTTTTTGTCAAGAATTATTCCTTAGGTTCATGCGCAGGAGATATCGTCCTTTCTTTTCTTAAAAAAAGTCAAAATCTGCCGAGACTTTTTACCTAATCGATGTGATTTAGCGCAAGTCAAATCGACCACACCTATCGCAAAGTAAAAATTTGGAGAAAACCCTTTATTTTCACATTCAAAGTATTTTTGCTCGGCCTAGAAACTTTGACAGGCAAAATTGTGCGGCTAGTTTAGTTCGACCTGCTAGCGCTGCTGCTATTAACTTATTTCCAAAATTCGACATGATTCAGTTCTGTTTAGTTCAGTCCGAGTTCAAAGTAACCCAGAAGAGAACCTCAAATAAGTCCTAGTGAAAAAAATATCCTCGCCGATTCATTCATAAAAATCCCAAGGCGCACAACATGCGCAGCGTATGCGTCTCCAGCCAGCGATTGACACGTCGAGGTGCTATTCTGCCGTGTTGAGAAAAAACGTCGTATGAGCCTTCAGACGTTGCTAAGTTTCCTCCGATAAAAACCGAATTTACTGGGAAAATTGCGAATATTATTTTCCAAAATTTTCAGACAATTTTGCTCGGAATTTTATCTGCAACGTCTGAAAATTTCAAGGGAAAAACTGCATAATTTTCTTCAAAAATAAACGATTTATCCAGGACAGTTTGGTAACTCTTGAATGTTCATACGGCGTTCTTCCTTAGCACGGCTGTATTTGACAGGTACCAAAGGTAAACATGAGTGCGACCACGAAGAGACGCTCTGAAAAAGTACGCAAAGCTCTTTGTGCTATACGGTTCGTCGGAGCTCGGTATCTGCGTCAGTGGCGTGGCGTATGATCGATTATCGATAATCCCCCATTTGAATCCGTGGTAAAGAATCGATTATTAAGGTGTGCGTTGCGAACACCCTGTTAATCGATCCTTTTCCATAGGTTTAAATGACAGATCAATCGATATATCTCAAAGCACGCCACGCCACTGGTCTACGTAGTTACGTAGTTTACGGAGTAGCATTCAGTATGAGCAATTCATGGGCGGATCCAGGAGGAGGGCGTAGGGGGTCTACTAGCCCCCCCTCCCCCCCTCTTGTTCGCCAGAAAAAAAGGAGTAAGAAAAAAAAAGGCAGAAACGGAGGAGCGAAGGAGGAAGGACGCTTATATTTAGTACTTTTACATGAAAAAATTGACTTAAACTGCATGTTAGATGCTTTAAAAGTTCAAAAATATTTTGGGGAAACCCTTCCATACCTCCCTTACGCCCCCTTCCCCGTTTGAGGTATATAGTTCCGCCTATGGAGCGATTTTCGTCAAGTTGGGTCAAAAAATCTGATTCTCTTGAAGCAGGAAGCTCTCGATAGTGTGAGGTTTGGGGTGGAAAGGACCTTCAACTTTTGCTTTCTTTTTTAGGAGAAGTATAAAATGCAAACACCGTTTCTAGAGACACAGTGCTGCCGTGTTAAGGAAGAACGCCGTATGAGCATACGAAATTTGCTTAATTTCCTTCAATAAAATTTTTATTTTTGAGGAGAGATATGAACATTTTCCCTCGAACTTTCCAGAAACTGTCGGTGAAATTGAAAACAACGTTATCAGAAAAATTCGAAGAAAAATATTTATAAGTTTACCAGGAAATTTGTGTTTTATAAATAAAAATTTGGCAACGTCTGAAGGTTCATACGGCGTTTTTCCTCAGCAAGGCAGAGTAGTCGAGAAAAGATGAGCTGAGGAAGGCTGGCTACCAGGTGAGCATGCCCAAGAATCGAGAATCAGGTGAATGTTTAACATTGCCGCGCCAACAATCTAGTGAAAGTCATCGTCGTGTATCATGTAGTCGTGTGGGCAGCCACTTGGATCAGCTTTGATTAGCCCACAAGAGAGCTCTCATTCTTCACTCTGCCGTGGTAGAAAGAACGCCGTATGCGTCACATGCGTTTGAGTCACATCACTCCACACTCCCTATGTCTCCCTTGTCTATCGCTGTGTCTATCAATTTCAACAGTCAGCCCGCAGGACTGTCAGACTGTCACCTTAATAATTGGACCGCGTTAGGCAGAAAGGGACCAAGCCAACGCTACTGTCAAATTTAATTTTTTACATGAAAACGGCCGTGCACATTTTTTTGAAAATTTCAGTGGATTTTCTGCACACTGGAAAAAAAACACATTGGATCTAGAGTCCAGACTCTTAAAAACTCTTGATTCAATCAGATTTAAGCTTATTAGATCAAAAGGAAATCCGCTCAAATTAAGAGGCTTGGTTCTTGATTGAAGCAAAAATCCGATTGAATCAAGAGTATTTTTTCTAGTCGATGTTTTTAAGGGTCTGGACTCTAGATCAAATTAATGTATTTTTTTCCAGTGCACAGCACGAATCAACTTTTTGGGTAACACTTGATTTTTTGGATTTCTTTGGCACTCGCTGATTTTTTAGCTATTGTGTCCATTTATCTGAGGGCTGACTGTTGGAATTGATAGACAAAGCTACAGACAAAGAAGACAAAAAGGATATGAAGGCATCCCATTGGCGGAAGCGAGTGGTTTTAATGGACAAATGAGAAAGGTAATGACTATAACTAACGGCAACCCAGGAGCGGCCCTATAGTAAGTCCGTAGAGAAGTTTTTTTCTCTCTCGGTTTATAAGAACCACCCATTTCAACCGATTGAACCGCTCCATACTCCTTATGACTGCCTTGTCTATAGCTTTGTCTATCAATTTCAACAATTCAGACGCAAAATATCGTCGGGAACGTACACAAAATAATGTAAATTTACCGGCAAGTTTTTGAATGGACCCCCGCGCCCCCCGCGGCCTCCGCCCCCTTAAAGATTTCCTAAATACATCAATGCCATAGTAAGTACGGGCGTGCGACAGCAGCGATACAACTCCACGTCTAATACACCCGATGCAAAGTTATTCATCGCGTAATATTCCAATTAAATTCTCTGGCGCATTTGCTTTTGTTTTCCCTTCGTCCGGTCAGATAAGTCCGATGAAAATGCCGGGACCTTTGTAAAAAAAATGAAGAATGCAAGCCAAAGTGATCGGTGCGGCGTGGAACCCCCGCTTCAGGAAAAGGAATTTACGAGGGATGCGATTGCCTTTTAATCGAAGAATTTCATTATTGAGGACTTGTATCCTCTGATACAAATTCGCGAGCTCGACTTGTGATACATTCTCGGGAAGGGTCAAAAGGATTCATGAGGAGTATGAAACCAACAGATGACCTTGATTTTTATACTTCGACCTTGAAATTCATTTCCGGTGAAAACGGAAGTTTTTGCCGGGGTTGGAGTCGTGTATCTGTCGCAGGCAAACAGTAAAATTAGGCATTTTGTCAAATGCCTAGGCAAATAGTTAAATATTCCAACTTAGTTTCAAATTTTGATTATTTTCTTAATTTTACACAAAATAATTTATTGCTCATGTGAGAAAAAATTCTCAGTGAAAAATTGCATCACATAATAGTATTTTAAACAGTTTTTGGCTTCGGAGCAGCCATTTTTCTTGAAATTTTGAGAATGTCATAAAATTCAGAATTTTCGGAATTTCAACATTTGAAAATATGAGAAGCAATTAAGGAGGAAGAGACAAAAAGAGTTGAGATACGCACAGTGAATCGAATCAATAGGAGAGGTCGGACAAAATTTGGAAACCTTAAACGCTTAAAACTCCGTTCATACGAAACTTTGAGGCTCTAAAATTGGTTTCATTGGTTTCCTCGTGAGATTTTCTTCTATTAGCACCCCTTGAACTTTAAAATGTGACGAAATAAACAAAGCGAAAACAACAACACGGCATTATAATTAAATGCAGCTATAATTTTTTCGTATGTATTTTATTTATTGATTAATTTATTTATTTATTTAATTAGTTGTTTGTTTTTTTCAGGGGATTACCGAATCGAGGAGGTCGATAAAGTTTCTCTGCGGCTCCACCGACAGTATGGCAACATCGTAAAAATATCGGGTCTTTTGGGTCGTCCAGACATGGTGTTCCTTTACGACGCCGACGAGATCGAAAAAGTATTCAGGAACGAAGAACTCATGCCTCACAGGCCGTCCATGCCCTCTCTTAACTACTACAAACACAAGCTCCGCAAGGATTTCTTCGGGGATGACGCGGGAGTTATTGCTGTGTGAGTAACAAAACTTTAAAATTGAACTGACCACTAGACATGTGGGTACACTGAACATTTACGTGACTCAAAGTTAAATGGAACTTCATCCAGTCACTCAAGCAGCACAGGTATAGGAATTAATCACAACCACGAGATACAGACATTGCAATGTATCGCAGTGTTGTGCAGGGCCGGATTTAAGGGGGGCGACCCATGGCGGCAAATCTAAAGGGCGGCAAATTTTGCAATTTCTTTAAATGTATGCATAAAAGAATATCGGATTCAGAAAAAAAAAATTACAAACGAGAAAAGGCGACAAAATCTCTCATTTCCTGAGAGTGTATTAGTTTTTAATTTTGTCGTCGTCCAGTGGTACAAGAGACAGCACCTTTAATTAGTCGAGCTAAGAGAGGAACCAAACACGCAATTTGGCCTGGAACGGCGCAGCGCAGAAAGCAATGATGACGAGGACTTGAGATGAAGAGGAGAAGCCATCGGCGCGGCGATCAACATGTAACACATATCAGCGCCTACAAGACTGCATGAATACTTCGCGCATTGCGCCAAACACATTGCGGTCAGCGGAAAACGCATGGCGCCTACAGGACTGCGTGAATACTTCACGCATTGCGCCAAATACGGTGCGGTCTGCGCGGCGCGGTGGCGGAAGTTAAAATCATTAAATCACATTCATGTTTGTTCATTCATAATTTTTTCGTTCATTTCATGAATGGAAGGCCTTGTCCGCACAGAGATAGGTTTACAAAACTTAACTTTTGCTAGTAGTGTTGACAGGACATCCCCAAAAATTTGTTCAACACGAGTAAACGCGTCTTATGCACCCCTCCCCTGCTGGCACGTTCACTTGATGGTTTTTATTGATGTTCCAATACGAATGAGAAGGAGGTGGCAAAATACAGGTGGCCCATGGGCGGCAAGTAGGTAAATCCGGTCCTGGTGTTGTATGTGTTGTCAATTCACTGATTAAAAGGGGCTCCTCTGAAGATAGTCTGCTGATTTTTCTTGATCTAACTTCTGCGCCCGCTGCCCAGTTTTAGGTGTTTCCTGAACAATTTTTTTTCCGACTTGGTGTGTTTTCGAACTCACTGATTCAATTTAAGTGCTGTGTGAAAACTACGGACTATTTCCAGTTGTCGAAAACTAAGTTCATAAACTTCCCTCATGATCAGATTTGAGGAGCAATATGGCTCATTATTTATATACTTTATTTGCTCCACAGCCATGGCGAAAATTGGTACAAATTCCGGACGAAAGTTCAACAACCGATGCTTCAACCTCGAGTGAGCCGTCTGTACGTCGAACCGATTTCCAATACGGCCGATGAGTTCATCAGCAGGTAATATTTACATGACGTCACGTGGTAGCAATTTAAAATAAATTGGAGAGTTACGCGAGCAAAAATATCCGTGGCTAAAGGTTGCAATATACCCTCAAATATGCACTGGAAAAAAAAAAACAAATTGGATCTAGAGTCCAGACTCTTAAAAACATCGACAAGAAAAAGTACTCTTGATTCAATCAGAATCTAGCTTAAATCAAGAGCCTCGCCTCTTGATTCAAGCGGATTTCGTTTTGATTCAAGCAAAAATCCGATTGAATCAAGAGTATTTTTTCTTGTCAATGTTTTCAAGAGTCTGGACTCAAGATCCAACGTGTTTTTTTCCCAGTGTGTTTTTATAGTTTCTAGAATTTTTATAATGTTCTCACAAAATTATAGTGTGATCATTTCCACAGTGGCTATTTTCCGGCTATGAGCCCGGAAAAGCATTGAATTGTACGGTCGACAGGGTTCATTGCAGAGCGTAGTTACGCCTTTTTGTCAGGTAGCCGACGAATTTATGTGCCGAACTGAGGATGCGACTTGATTTGTAAAAGCACGTGAGTGGAGGCGGTTGAATGGATGGACGCGTTACCCAATAACTTTATGTAACCAATTGAAAAGAATCTCGCGACTCTTGCCTCTGGATGGTATCGAACTGATTGTAACCGGACGAGTTGTCCCTTTCTTTTTCGATTCGATGTTAGATTCACGCGCATGATTGCAGGGAAAAATGCATATAATAATTTTTTAAACGCTCTTATATTTCTTCTAATAAAACACACATTTAGAGTGAAACTTAGGAAAATTGAAAAAAATTCAATGATTACTCCCCCCAGTAGGTACCTCTAGAAGCCATTTGAAATTCTACTCCTTTTTGTCTTTACAGGGTTCGAGAAATTAGAGATTCAAAGCTTGAGGTACCGGCTGACTTTCTGAACGAGATTCACAAATGGTCATTAGAATGTAAGTACCAGAACCTTTCAGCCTTAAATTCAATATCATCGAAACCTTTTTGGGGTAAAGCACTGTACCTTCTACGACAGAATAGTCATTTGACGGAACACTGAGTTTGAAATTTCGATAACGACGCCTTAACTCAGTCTTATTTTTTTCAAAATTATAATATATCACATTTTACGTGTGTATGAAATGGATAAGAAAAGCGTATAGCTCGATACACCATGATGACACGCTATTGAAGATAAAAGTTCTTTATTATGGATACGTTTCTGCATAGCATCAATCTGCGTTATATCAGCAAAAATGATAATAAAGATTACAGATAGAGCCATACGATTACTGACTGAACAGTTATCACGATTCCTATTGAAGGAAGATTGATGAAGATGACAAAATAGGGACAATTTTTTGCATTAAGCGCCAGTAACTAAACAACCAATTTTTTCTTCTTTCAGTGCATCCGTAAAAAATATTTGGTATCTACAGTAGTGTGCCACGATGTAGCAGACTTCTTTCTCTCTATAGATTTATTTTGTCTCAATGCTTTCGATTCGTATAGAGTCTTTGGTATAGAGCTGTTCACACTTCATGCGAGTGACGCGACTATTGTGGCTCCGTAAGAAGGGTCAATTTGCCTACCCCCTCATTTGAAGGCGAACCATATCAGGTGCAGCATTTTAGTTTACCTTGTGTTGAATCATTGATAAAGAATACCACTATTCCAGCTCCTGGAAACGCATTTTGCCTACACGGATTTATGAAGGCACACTCTCCTAAGTGTGCGCTGTGCGCCTTCAATTTAACCAGATACCAGCCTCTTGAAGCCTGTTTTGCTCGTATCGTAGACTTTTTTCGTGGAAGATAATATGGACTGAAATATTACTGAAATTTTACATTCCACAGCAATCGCTCGTGTGGCCTTGGACGTGCGGTTAGGATGTTTGGATGGGAGTAAAATGCAGACGGAGACACAGGAGCTCATTGACGCTGTCAACACTTTTTTCAAGAACGTCGGAGTCCTGGAATTAAAGGTTCCATTTTGGAAACTATTCAGCACACCCACGTGGAATAAATATATCAACGCTTTAGATAAAATTACGAAGTAAGTAAAACGCCGCATGAAACTCGAATAATATCTATCTGCCCTTAACTCATGCATTTTAAAATAATTCGTGTGAATTTTAACCACATTCCAATCAACATGTCGACGGGGTAGGCCTAGGCCCGCAATCACGTACCTCGGTTTGCGACGTAGCAGACTTCCTGTCGTACTTCTTGTTTTAAATGAAAAACTACTCAGCGGAGATTCTTGTTAACTGCCGTTATTTTTCCTCTCAGTGCCAAGATAATTCTGAAAAAACTTCAAAGAATGATATAGATATCATTCTTTGTTCTCCTTTTAAAAAAAATAAGATAGGATCGGCGAAGATTTTCAGACAGCGCAAACGAGATATGTGGTTGCGAACTTACTTAGTCGGTATGAGTAATTTTGCGTTTTATATACCTACTTTTGAGTAATTAGTAAGAAATTGGGGGTTTGAGCGCTTTCTGGGACTTGAGCGCCATTGCAAATGTCATTTTCCTCGCAAAAAAACGTAACTACATTTCAATGATGCCAAATTTTTCCTCGCAAATTGGATTTTGACTAAACTATTGGGTATTTTCAACTGAAAATTTCACTGATATTTCTACTTATCTCATGCAAAAATCAGAAAAATTTTGGATAAAAATTGCACGGGTACGTCCTTGTCGGAAATCGGATTTTTGGAGTCAATTTTTCAACCTTGAAATGGAGTTTTAGTGCCTCCGTCCAGGAAAGGACGATGTCTTATGGAGCATGGTCGCGGAAATTCAATGCGGAATGCCGACTTACTCACGCGTAGGATGTTTTTTCATCACACACGGGGCTAATAACACAACAGCTTACTGAATCGACCACTAGACAAGGTGCGAATGTAAGCATTTTGATACACGTTATTCATCAAAATTTCTTGTAGATAGTTTCGACGACAGACGAAAATCCTCTTAGAATTAGCTATTAACTAGGATATTTGACGCTTTCTGATGCATACATTCGAACCTCCTGCTGCTCATGTCATTTTATGTTATTTTACTTCATTTGAATATAATTTTAATTAAGAAAAGCATTGAAAGAACTAACCTGACATGGAATATGTGAAATTGATCATGCGTGACAGGGAAAGTGTCAAGTATTATTTTGTACTTTTGAAGGACACGTTAATAATGAACTCAGCGCTATTTGCCGCAAATGAAAAACTCTGCAAACCATTAATTTAAAATTTTCAACCTTTCCAGCATCTCGATGAAACACATATCCTCAAGGTTGGAAGAATTAACGAAAGACTCCAAAGTTGAAGTAAATGAGAAATCATCTCTAGTCCAGCGAGTTTTGGCTCTGGATCCAAGTAATCCAAAAATCGCCGCAATTCTGGCATTGGATTTGTTTCTAGTTGGCATCGATACGGTAAAATTTTGACACATTTTTAATCTGCTATATATTTAAATAAAAAATAATAATAATAAAAAAAGCAATTCCTTGTGCGAGTGAGATCTGGTCTGGATATCTATCAGGCCGATTCTCCCTCTCATGGATATATACATTTAAATAATGAAGTTCTTGGAAAAATGACAATGTTGTGATAAAAACTTTTAGGTAATCGTTAACTTCTTCGGCATACCATAGGCAACGCTGAATTATGTAAAATGAACAATCAAAGCTTCAATTAGTGTTGCATGCTACAAGTACAAAACGAATTTCATGATAACGTCTAAATGCAACTATTCGAACTCCGTGGATGTCCATGTTGCATACGCCTGGAATTGAAGGCGTTTTGACTTCAGACAACCGACATCGACCTCCAAATTTTTAAGGCGACGTCGATTTGAAAATGCGTTATCGGCATTTGAAAAAGTTCACTATTCTATAGGAGTTAAAGAGAAGTGCATTTTCCGGTGCAGTTACAGAAAAAAGCTCTTCAGTAAAAAATGAGCATTAAAGTTTCATATTCATCATGGTATTTTCTTCTCCTTCTGTCGCATTGGAAGTATCGATTGATGGCATTTCGACGAAATCAGGCTTCATTTCGCTTTGGCAAAAACCTCCGACGGACTCATTTTTTTCCTCGAATCCTATGACCGATGATCGAAATTAAGTTACTTTCTCATTGCAGACATCCGCGGCGGTGGCTTCGATCCTATATCAACTCAGCACCAACGGTGAAAAGCAAGAGAAGTTGAAGGAGGAGATAGACCGAGTTTTCCCAGGTCCTAACGACGAGATTACCTACCAGAAGTTGGAGGAAATGAGCTACCTCAAAGCATGCATCAAAGAAACTTTGAGGTTCGTCCAAACGCAGCTATAATCGCTGACCTTCATTTTAACTTTTTATAAATCTTCAATTTCTCAAAACAGGACCAACCTACACAGGTCGGTCATTGCGCATCTTTTTGGAATCCACTCCCCCGCCCGGCCATAACTCGGCGGCAGCCAATCGGACGTCACACTGGTTGCTCCCATGAGAAATGCATTGCAGGCAGCTGAATACGTCATTGCGTAGTGGAGTTCTAAAATTCTTCGTCGGGAATAACTGACCTGTGTAGATTGGTCTTGCTTCAAACTCAATCTTCAGTTTCTCAATTAGAAAAAACCTTTGAAGAATCGGAAGAAAACCATTTATAAATTTTCCCATAAATTCGTGATGAGTCGAAGGAAATTCAGCAACCACCGACGGCTCAAACGGCGGTGTAGACCTGGAGAAGTGATGCTCAATAGCGCGCAAATTTCAATCGTTGAAACTGTTTCAGGGAGTTACTGAGGAAACAGCTTCCCCCTTAGGCCATAGAGAAAAAAAAGGAGGTGTTTGTATTTCAGGCATCATATACTTTTTTTTGATGACGTAGGTCGGTACGGCGACTTTTATCATCGATTTTCTTGGGTATGGTGTAATTTATGGAAGAAATGCATTCTACTTAAAGTGTTTGAAATCATATCATGAGCTGATTTAAGCAAGAAATCGGAAGTTCCGGCCCGTTCTTCATACTGCGAATTTCGGATTTTGTTGACCAGGTAGTACCAACCTACGTCACAGGGTACACAATCCTCAAAATGCAAACACCTACTTTTTTTTCTCTATGCCCTTAGACATAGAGAAATTTATTATTGATGAGATAGACAGATGAATTTACGTAGAGTACCTGTAGTATAGGGAGAGTATGGACAGATGTGAAACTCCGAAAATCCATCAGGCCTTCACCGATGCCTCCGCGAATAAAGTTAAGGCCCAGAAATGCAGCCAACCTATGAATTTCAATTATCCAGAGCGCTTTACTAATACAATTGTTACGAACCATCGTTTATAAAGCACGTATTTGACTTACTTTTTGCATAAATTTGCTCATTTTTGCGGAAGAACGCTCATTTATGTACATTCTTAGCCACCTTGGTTAAAATTGGAATCTGCAGACTGGCAGTGAAATTTTGTGCGTTAGAAGTTGGTTAGAAGGGTGGCTGCACTTTCGGACCCTAAGCCCTCCATGAAGCGATCTGTTCATACTCTCCCTATACAGGTACTCTTTTACGAAGAGCCGAACTTCGCACAACCGTACCTGTTCGACCTGAATGGTCAGGTGCCTGCGCCATCTAGTGGTAGGATTTGTAACCACGCCGCAGTCCTCGCAGCCCACAGCACTCACACCCCCCTCTCGCCACACCGCTCATCACCCGAGTTCCGAGAAACCCGGCGACGCCGCGCTGTCTGCGATCGACGAATTCTGTCTTTGAACCACGCCGCCGCTTCTTCCGGGAATCTTACGTTGACGCCGGCGCCAAGAGAATTTGATTTTGTTCTCGAAACCCTCCTTATCGTTTCCTCATTCCACTGACCCACTTCTCAGAGAAACAGAAACACCGCCATTGATGCCGGATAGTGCAGAAAACCGGTGCGTGTTACCAGACTGCCCTGGATGCGATTCAGATGAACGAGATGTCGAATCAGAGTGAATTTCAACGCGGAATCCGAATCTGACCATGGATTCTTATTTCGAGTACTTGTTCGTGACGTATCACCACAGAACCCGATTGCATACTGACAATAAGTCACACTTAAATCTGCATTTTGGACCCCCCCCC